CTGAATGAATGAAATAGCCTTATTAAATACTTTGTTCGTTACATACAGTAGTTTATACACTGCTCAAACAACTAAAGGGAACAAAAAACTACTGTATGTAACGAACAAAGTATTTAATAAGACTATTTCATTCATTCAGATCTCGGATGTCTTCTGCTTGTGTTCCCTTTATTTTTTTGAGCAGTGTATACCCCAAATCTGTAAGGATGGGATGAGGAACACTAAAGTTCAGAATGAGCTGAGGCTTTCAATGAGTGGCAAAAAAATAACCAAAAAAGTACTTGTCTGTGTACAGTATGAGCAAAACAAAAGGGAAACATCAAGGAAATGGTCAGTCTGCTGGTTGGAGAAAATGGCAAGATAGTGATGGATAACAAGGAGAAGGCTGAACCACTAAATTCTTATTTTGCAGCTGTCTTTTCACAAAAGGAAAATGTGATCCAACCTGTGCACTGGAGAAGGAGGGTGGGTGGGGCAAAAGAGCAATGTAGGTCAAAATAGACAAGGGACTATGAAAGAACACTTAGCTTCTTGGAATAAATGCAAGTCTCTGAGACCAGATGGATAACATCCCAGGGTGCTAACTGGTTCTTGGAGAATTCCTGAAGTACAGGGGAAGTGCCAGACTATTGAAGAAGAATAAAAAGGGGACCCATGCAACGACAGATCAATCAGCTTGAAGTCACTACTTGGGAAAATGTTAGAAAAGTTAATCAAGCAGTGCGTTTGCAAGCATTTAGAAAGAAATAAGATCATTACTATCGTTTACGATAGATTGTGTGGGATTTTTTTTTTTTTTGACAGAATGGCTAGATTAATTAGACAGAAATGCTTCGGATATAGTGTACCTTGACTTCAGTAAAGTTGGGCAGAGACACTTTCTTGATAAAATGAAACATGTGGGATACCTGTAGTACCACTGCTAGAGAGATTTTCAGGTGATCCTTAATGAAACTGTGTCTACCTGGAGAGACCTCTGCAGTTGGGGTTTTGTCCTAGGCCAGTTTTGTTCAAAATATTCATAAATACTTAGATGAAAGGATAGAAGTGATGCCCAGCACATTGCAGACAACACAAAGTTGGGGGGAGGGGTTTGTAGTACCTCTAGGCACAGGGATCAAAAAGAATCTGATAGATTCGAACATTGGGCCCTATGCAACAAAATGCAGTTTCGTAGTGAAAAATACTAGGGTTCTGCATGTAAGTAGGGGGAAAACTCAAATATAAAGTACAAAATAGGTGATACCTGGCTCAGAAATTGTATCTGTGTGAAGGATCTGGATATCCTGGCAGACCATCCTGTACCTGCCAAAAGAGTCAATGCAATCTTGGGTTGCATCAACAACAGAGATATAATGTCAAGATAATGGAAACGGGTAGTTTTGTTCTACGTTATGTTAAATCAAACAGCACCTGGAACCGTATTTAGTTTTTGGTTGCCAAAATACAAGAAGGATGCTGTGGAATGAAAAGAATGCAAATAACCATGGTGAAGGGCTTAGAGGCTAAATCCTATGGAGGACGGTTGAAAGAGCTGGGAATAAAGAAGAGAAAGCTAAAAGGAAGACATAATAGTAGTCCTCTAATACTTGAAGTGCTGTCACAAAGAATAGGACAGGAACCACCAGATGGAAGCTTTGCTGAGATTGAAATCGAAAAAGGAGGTAATTGCTTGACTGTGAGAGCTATAAGGCAGCAGAACACCCTGACTCCTGAAATTATGGGTGCTCCATTACTGGAGATTTGCAAACCATGGATGGACAGACTGGGTGGGATACTCTGAAAATCCTTGTCCTGGCAAGATATGGAATTAGAAGAGCCCTTTCCAACAATATGATTATAGCAATTGTTTCCTGCTACCATATTATATAAATTCCAATTGGCACCACCCTTCCTACTTGCAAGGGTCATAAGGGTAAGCCAGAGCTCATAAAGCTGCAGGAGAAAAGGCTCGTTGAGATGATGGGTCATTGCTTAAGATTACAAGGACCCAGACTTTATATAAACTCCACTTTTGTTTTTCCTTCGAATTTTCTTACACACGGATTCTTCTGGCCCCTTAGTCAATGATTTGACAATTGATAGACTGTGCGTCTTCTTCACTCTGTGGCTGGCAGTTGCTTGGCTAGGAAAAGTGAGCAAATTGCCTGCAAAGCATGGTGACTTTCCTAGGGTAGAAGTGAGAGTGTATATGGGATATACATACAGCCTGAATATAGACCAAACTTAAGTCTCAATTTCAGTATTTCAGTAGCAGGGGGAGATTCAAAAAAATAATGCTAGAATAGGGCTTGTGACACAAAGGTTACTTGTCTTAAGTCACCCTGGCATAGAGTGTTCTGGCTGACATCAACATGCTGCCACTTACAAGCAAGCATGACAAATGACCTGTACTTTACAGCAAGCATCCCTAGATGGGTCATTAACTCCCAGGACACATTAAATAGAAGCACCTGGGGTGAGAGCCAAAATAAAATCCTATCCAATCTCTTAGCTTGAGAAAGATCCGGCCTTTAAATTTTTCACCCAGATTCAGATTCGTTAATAGTGAAACTCCTTAAAAAAAAAAAAGAAAAGAAAAAAAGTCATAGGTTAGAGTTGGGCTTTTGAATCAATACTTCCCAACTATTAATCTTCCTCGGGTTCTGATAAGAAAAGAACGGTTCAGTTCTAAAGTCATTTTTTTTTCTGATGATTGCCCAGGGAAGGGCAATCCACGAGAATGATGGGAGCCGAGCTTTTGAAAGTAGAAACTTCCTATAACTATAAATCAGCATCTGGAAAGACAGGTGGATGAAATTACACGGAAGCCAAAAGAAACCTTAGAAGAGACCGTTGTGCCATTCTTCAGAGAACCCTTTGTAGAAAATTGTCAGCCTATTCGTAATTAGTACATTTTGCTTTCCACTAGTATTAATTAATCCTCTCTTTTAGCACAAAGCACAAGCAACATGTTCAATAATAATCTATAAACTACTGTTTCTCTTCCCCCCCTCCCCATCTAATTGTTCAATACAGCCCTGCAAAAAAAAAAAAAAAAAAATCAGAGAAGCTGAGTAAACATCTAGGCATTTTCGACACTAAATCCTCTTTTAGAGAACATGCGCCAAAATCGTTCTTTTAAAAAAGGAGAGGGAGCCAAAATCCGCCGAATTAGAGCTGTACCTTTAAGGAGTTCATAACTAGCAGAGAAAGCAGCTGCATTCCTGTTGAGAAGGGGCTGCTGTCCTAACATGCAACAGAGGCTAGAAATAACCTGCACGCACACAAGCTTCCAGCATCTAATCCAACCATTTATTTTATTTATTTATTTAATAAAATTTATATGCCGCCCTATCTCCGAGGACTCAGGGCGGCTCACAACAATAAAACAACAAGTTAAAAATATAAAATACATAATATATGTCTCTCTCACTCATCCGCAGAACAGAATAAGACATAAAGGAAGGAAGGAAGGAAGGAAGGAAGGAAGGAAGGAAGGAAGGAAGGAAGGGAGAGAGAGAGGAAGGGACTAACTTTATTAGATCAGAAAAGGAGGCGGGTGTCAAGGCATCAAAGGATCGGGCTGCCTTTTAGGGGAGGAAAAGTCGCTTCAAGGCGCCTGAAGGAAGAAAGAGTCCTCCTTTGCTGTGGCTTTGTCGGAATCCGCTTGGCTGTAGAAAAGGGAGCTTTGAAGGCTGCGATGGGGAAAATGGATCAACGGCCCGAGCAGATCCGGCATGCGTGCCTTACGAGCCAAACGCAGCGCAACCCCCACCAGGATCGAGGCGCGCAACCCCCACCAGGATCGAGGCGCACGTATAGCGGGTGGGACAAAGACAATGCCAAGTAGGGAAGAAAAGCAGCAGCAGGTAGTTAAGTTAGTGCGGCGGGGATGCCCTGCGCGCTGGCGCCACAAACATTCAACCACCGCTTGCAAATTAGCAGCGCCGACGCCGCTCCACCCTCTCGCACGTGAGAAGGCTTAATTTTTTTTTTATTTTAATCAAAGTTCATCAAAGCTTTGCCCCCTGCGCCTTTTTGGGGTGTGTGTGTGTGTCTCTATTTGTACAAAAGGAGAACAAAGTTTTCGAAATGGGGCGGGTGGGAGAGCGACCCAATTCAGTCGCGAAACCGGCGAAGCCCCTGACTTTGCTGAACTAGAAAGGAGGATCCTGAGCACATGTAAAAGTGCTGAAATTTCAACTCCTTTTCGCCCGACGCGCAATTCTCTTCAAATGGAGCGCTTCGCCTCTCCCGGTGGCTTTACGTATAGATTCCGAGACACGGGTAGAAACGGAAAAGGAGGAAGGCTAGAAGGATCGACCCGACGATCACCGAGGTGGGGGGAAGAGGGGGGTACCAAGTAGGGTGACTACTTCTCCGCGAGATCGCTCAGGACGAAACCTTCGTGGAAAAAGGGGTACCGTAAACGCGCACAGGATTACAGCCCAGAATGGGTGCCCACTTTAAAATGAGGTGGTGAGTCGGGGTTTTATCAAGCCACGCACTCAGCCAACAGGGTACAACATTTTGCTATCTGGTACGAATTTATCCGGGAGTCGGAGCAGCTGAGCTCGGATCAAGGCAGCTGCAGACGTCCCATGCCTCTGTCTGTCTGTGTGTGTGTGTGTGTGTGTGACGGTGGCAGACACCGCGCGTTGCGGGTGACTGATCAGACCCGAGATTTCACCCGAAAACTGGCCTGCAAGCGAGAACAGAGGGTGCCCCCCCACCCCCACCTCATGAACATCTCTTTTCCGCCAGCCCGGACCCAACTCCGGCGGGCAGCGGAATAGTACGATGCCCAACATAGAAACTGGACCCAACTCCCGGAGCCTCTCATCGCCTGGGCGCACCGGGAAGAGGAGGAGGGGGGGGCAGAGGAGATTGTCCCAGGCGACCCCCCCCTCCATCCATCCCGATCCCCAAGACACACGCGCGCCCCCCCTCCCCAATCTTTGCAGCCACCCCGCGGTTGGAAGCGCGGGAAAAAGGGGTGTCCCCTCAGAGTCGCCTACCTCGCACGTAGAGAGGGGCTTCCCACCGCAGAAGCAGCAGCGGCAGCAGCAGCAACAACGGCGGCCACCGGAGACCGACGGCCCCGAGCCGCCTCATGGTGGCGAGCGACCCCTGCCGCAGCTCTCGCCTTTGCCCTGGCGAGCCTTCTTTCCCTCCTTCGCAGCCTCAGCGGGAGGAAAAAAAGGGGGGAAAAAAGTTGAGCGCTGAGGGGTTGGGGTTGGCGGCTGCCTTTCGCTCTCCTCCCGGGGCTGCCGGCCGACTTGGCTCCCGCAGGCGCCAGGCGCCAGGACTGGTCTCAAGCCTCGTCGGGGTTGCTCTCTCGGGTCCAGCCGCGGCGGCCGCTGCTTTGCTCCGTCTCCCCGCGCTGCAGAAGCGACGGCGAGATCGGGGCTCGCTCCAGCTGCCCGCCCCCGGCCCTGCCCTCGGAGGAGGAGTCCCGCCGGGGCAACCTCCGCCCTCGCTTCTCGCCCACAGCGGCAGTGGCTGCTCCAGAGCTTGGCGCGCTTCCCAACCTTTTCCAGGCGAAAACGTGGTAGGCACCCGCCTCGCCTTCCTACCCTCCGCCAGATTCTTCTTCCCTGGCCTATCCTACCTTCATCCGGCCGGATGATTCCCACCTGCCCCGCTTACAAACCCAGAGCCGTTTGTTAGAAAGGCTGCTGGCTTTCAGCATCGCCGCTCTCCAAAACAAGTTACTTCCGGCGCACTTCCACATACCCGAGTTGCACAGTCCTAAGAAACGATTAGCTGAAATTAAACTCCTTCATTCCGCTGGTCCGTTTGCTTTTTCTTCTGTCCTGAGAACAAGGACCCAGAACAGAATTGGCCAGATTCATTCATTCATTCATTCATTCATTCATTCATTCATTCATTCATTCATTCATTCAACATACTCCAAAGCGATCATATCATCAGCTGAATAAAGTAAGCAATATGATAAGACTAAAATATCTCAGGTAGGGCTGAAAATGAACTGTGACAATAAAATATTGCCAAGGAAAACAAAAATAATTCAACATGTTCTTAAACCTTGGTAGCCTTGGTAGTACAGTGGTCTAAGGCACCCTGTTATTAAGCTGGTTATTAAGACCAGCTGCCTGCAATTACTGCAGGTTCGAATCTCGCCAAGGCTCAAGGTTGACTCAGCCTTCCATCCTTTCTAAGGTAGGTAAATTGAGGACCCAGTTGTGGGGGCAATAAGCTGACTTTGTATAAATATACAAAAGAATGAAGGCTATTGCTTAGCACATTGTAAGCCGCCCTGAGTCTCCAGAGAAGGGCGGCATATAAATCAAATTTAAAAAAAACAAAAAAAACCCCACCAACTAGGAAGCATTGGCTTTGTGCCTCTTGTTTAATTGTGGCTTTTTTCACTGTAACCTATGTAATGATTGACCAAGATCCTTTTCCGCTTGACCTATCCACAGCTCTAGACATTTCTTTTTCTGACATGACGCTGTCTTCATCTTATCCCCAATCTATTCCTGAGGCAGCATATTCTTACCTATACCAGCGTTTTCCACTTTAAGCAGGCAGCAAGCCATGGTAGTTTTGCCAGTAGTACATTCTGAAGCGCTTCTCAAACTATTTGGTGACCTCTAGAGGGTGGGATCAGCCCAGCACTTATTGACTGCCTGAAGGTGTTGTATCTCACTCCTTCCAGAGCAATTACAGGTAGCTCACAGGTTACAGCCACTCCTTCAGTGACAGTTCAAAGTTGTGACAGCACTGAACAAGGGGGACTTATGACTGGTCTTTGAAGTTGTGGCCATCACAGCACCCTGCAGTCACATGACCACAATTTGGATGCTTGGCAACTGGCTCACAATTATAACAGTTGCAGCATCCCACGGTCATGGGATCGCCATTTGTGAGCTTCCCTGCCAGCTTCCCAAAAGCAAAGTCAATGGGGAAGCCTGTAGGACATTGCAAATCACTCCTGCTCCTGCTCTTTTTCTCCCAAAGAGCTCATGCTCTGTACCACTCGTCCACCCACACTCCACAGTGGCCACCTGCAGCACCTGCCTGTCTACCCACTGGCCTGCTTGCCTGAGATGCAGTTTCAGTGCCTCTTCAACTATCATGGTCACATGATATTGTTAAGGACCTTCACAGTCCTCACTTAATGACAGCAACAGAAACTGCCTGGATTGCCAGTGCTAAGCATGATGTAACATCATGCTTTTTGACCAAATCAGAATTTGGGTCCCATTTGCTGTCCTAAGACAAGGATTACCTGCATGTTTGGTAGGGAGAAGGACTGGATCTTTTAGAAAGGTTCTCCTCTACACCTACCAGATCTCAAAGCTGATGCTCAATTTTAAGATCTATGGCAGCACTTCAGAGAAGACAGTGAGGGGGGAAAGCTGCAATGGACTATAGGAGTAATTCTGTGTGCTAGTTCACAGTGCCACTATTTCTGCACCTGTGTAAGCTGAAGTTAGGCTCCCCTTGAAACACCTATGTAAAAATAGAGCAGAGAAAATTAAACCCATCCTGCTGAGCCCTCTTATCAAAGCCTTTTTTTTCTTCCTTTCCTAGCCCAGCTCCATCCCATGTTAAGAAGAGTGGCTGGTGGATATTTTCCTGCTGACTGGAGATGTTGGATGGGTAGGGAAAGCAACAAAGCTGCGAAATTTATTTTCCTATCCTTAACTTGTCTTGCACATTGTATATAAAGACAGCTCCATTTGCTGGCATTGTGTCTCTGCAGGATATGGATGAGGGCAGCACATTTTCTATTGCAATCATTTTCTGCCAGCTCCAGGACTGTTGGGTAGCAGTAATGACAATTTTGTTTAGCTTGGTATTACACAAAGCACTTCTGTTAGGGAAAAGCAGACATCCTTATATCAGTTACCATCACTTTAACCTACTTTGTGCTTTCTGAATTCTGTTCTGGAGGCTTGGGAAGAACGGCCAATTGCAAGAGAGAGGAGGAGTGAACAACACAGAGAAGCTCCATTTTACATACAGAGCTACATTAAGAGTTTGTAGGGCATTCTTCCTTGTCTGATCTATTGACCTATTCTATCTAGGAGCTGCAAAACTAGAATACAGGTAGTCCTCAACTTACAACCACAATTGAGCCATTTTACAACTTTACTTGCCACAGTTGTTAAGTGAATTACTGAAATTAAATTAGTAACATGGTTGTTAAGTGAATCTGGCTTCCCCATTGACTTTGCTTGTAAGAAGATCACAAAAATGTGATCACATGACCCAGGGGCACTGCAACCATCATAAATATGAATCAATTGCCAAGCATCTGAATTTTGATCATGTGACCGTGGGGATACTGCAATGGTCGTAAGTGTGAAAAACAGTCATAAATCACTTTTTTCAGTGCCGTTATAACTTCAAACGGTCACTAAATGAACTGTTGTAAATTGAGGATTACCTGTACATCTACAACTTTCCTTACAGGGACTCCTTGGGTATCTCTTTTAAGTGATGAAACAGCCATCACCGTTCTTGTATTAAGATGTTTCTTGAATATTTAGTTGAAATCTGCTTTCCCGCAATTTTCACCAATCTGGTTCTAATACTGCTCACTGGAGCCACAACAGAATAATCCCACCCCTCTTCCATCTGACAGCCATTCAGATATTTAGACATCCTATTCTCCTATATACTGATATTTTTCATCTCTTCCCCATACGATATTGTTTCTGCGGTCCAGTCATCCTCCTGGTTATCAGGTTCAGGATATATACCTGCCTGTCAACATTCTTTTTAAAGAACCTAGTGCCTTATTTTAGATACAGGTCAATAATGTGGCAGAATGGCTGCTTTTCACAATGTGGATGCAATGCTTCTATTTAAAGCACACGAAGACTACTTGGGCTGTTTTTAGCAGCCACATCATTGCATCGGCTTCTTTTTCATTGTGTGCAAGCAAGAACTGTTTTTAAAGCCTGAAACATTACTGCATGTAATTCAGCAGCCCAATTATTTTCTTTTTCTCGAAGGGGAGAAGGAAAAAGGGATAGTAAATAATGCTGTATCTCCCTGCCCTTAATAGACCATGTGTCAAAGTCAGACATCAAAGCAGTATTCTCAGAGTAATGGAACACATGTGACACAGTTCAAACTAACAAAGAAGAGCTATGATATCAGGAGAAAAACGAAAGGAGTACGTGAAGGGTAGATGTTTATAAACGGCTCTTTCTCTCTGTCATTTTCTATGCCAGCTAATTCTTGGGAACCTTTTCAACAAACCAGGGACTCTCTTCGATTGCCTATGTCTTTTGCTGAGTTATTTCACCTTAAAATAGCCATTAATGATTTGACACTTAAATAAAGAAACAGCTGGATTTGTACGATAGAGATCAGCCTTGGTGGAGTAACAGGGCTAACTTGCATTAGAAGCGCAACTGCAGCTGCATAATTGGAGCTGCCTATATAGTAAGAGATACCAAATGCAGGAAAATCTGTCAAGAGCATCTAGAAACATATAGTTAAAAGGGAAGAGTGAAAGATAACAAATGCTTATTATTCTGCATCTCTATATACATTTATCTGAGTGTTTAATACACATATACAGACAATGCTACTTCAATTACTATCCACTCATAAGGATTGTTAGAAAGAGAGCTGGGTTACCCATGTTGGCAACATAATAGAGTCTGGCACCATTTTTTTTTTGTCTAATACATTTTGTTTAAAGACATAAGCTTTTATGAGGTGCAGCTCCTTTGCAATTTCTAATTTTTGCCATAAGGATATGCTGACTTTAAATATTATGTACACTGCATTCTTATTTGTAATGCTAAGGATGAAAAGGAATAATATAGGTTCCTTATAAATCCAAAAATGCTTTTCCCCCAAAAGTCCCCAGACATCATATTTAGCTAACATATGTACATGCCAAAATAGCAGAGTGACTAGACAGTCTGTCATATACAAACTATCTTTGTATATAATGAATCTGCAACATACATTATAGACTCCAACAATCCAAAAGAACAGAATTTTTTTTCTATTTTAGACGTTGTAATTCTGAATCTAAAGATGATCTTTAAAACTTAAGGATTTACTTTTTAAATCTGCCAGCTATATTTTACAGTAAATGTTAGAATGAACAGTGTAAAATACAGTTCAAAAAACTGAATTATTTACAAACCGGTTAGAGGAATTGATTGCCAGAGGAATGCCATATATAATGCCATGTAATTTAATGAATATAAAGAAAAGTCCATAAACCAACCAACATCATTTGCAAAACATGATATATGGAAACTTCCCAATGCATTCAGTATGGCAGAGATCACAGAATTCAGTTACCGGTAATTTAGCCTTTACTTAAGATTTCATGCACTTGCAGGCATTTGTGTGGTTTTTGG